TAAATTTTAGAAAATTCCTTGAATTGAGGATTTTATATGAGCGCAAATAAATAACACGATACAAATAATAATATTTGAGTATAAAACAGAAATTGATGAATATTAAAGCATGAAGAAATAATTATTTTGTTGATTATGTTCAGTTATTCATCGAGGTGTGGAGATCAACAATTATATGGTTTATTGAAAAGGAATCATAATCGTTAAGATGGAGGAATGCTTCCAAATACTTACATGATTTGTAGAAAATACCCTATTGAGATGGAAATAGTTCTATAGGGGAGTTATAAGACCCACATGACATCAAATAAGATATTTCAAAAATAAACTTACTAAAATCTTGAATGTTGAGATGGACGAGTGATATATGCTAAGAGAAAAGATTAAAAAATGCATCATAAAAAAAATTTGGAGGCTAAGCGCATCGATATTAAGAAGAAAAAAGACAATTTGAGATGATTTGATCAAACACAATAAAAAGGCATTGGACTTCCTAACCAGAAGGAATGATAAGATCACTACAGGGTTTGGCCCAGCCCGACTCGCAGTCGATCGCAGAGCCACGTGCGGTCGACCGACAGAAACTCAATATCACTACAGGGTGTGAGTTACAGACCTTTCTCTAACTATTATATGCAAGGACAACATCAGCTCCTTCGACACTGAAATTCCATCCAGAATCCTTCCTTGGGTATTTTCTCAGTAAGGAAGCAGGATATATGCTGGCTGTAGAGTGATTAGTCAAAGTTCAATGATTCTTTCGTTGTTCATCATCAGATTGTTGCATGTTCTTTTTGTCGAAATATGACGTACCAAATATGACATATATAGTCATCCTTTTCTTTTGCTTCCTTTTCCTGTAATTTCTGCCTCTGCAAAAGCATTGGCAACAATGGTAGGAGCATCATCATGTTGGCTTGTACTATTTTTCCCATGACTTAAAATGAAAGTCGTACCGATCTCTCGCTCCATCACCCTGGTTCTCGCCATCGTATATATGCCATGGCGCTCAGGTCTATCCAGCTAGATGTGAGGGGTCCGTAATGGCATTTCTGATGCCTGCAATGGTGCTGTCAACTGTTCTCAGTGGGTATCTTATAGATGGACAATCCTGTTCTTCGTCTTCAAGGGATTGGAAGATAGGTGCTTCGGTGGTAGAGATTATGCGATCCAAGAGTTGGCCCAATGCCGGCCAATGTTATGCTAAGACGTTATCATTGGTTAGCCAGAGGGGGGGAAAACTCCTACCATAAGGTCAGTTTTGTTGAGTTGGGGGGAGTGTTTGACACTAAGAAATATATTATTATTATTTCTTTAGTGGTACAAACACACTATACTCTCAAATACAAATATTCTCTCTCTCTTTCTCTCTCTGCTACTGGGATCTCACCACACTACTCTTTATTTTTCCCTCTCTGCATCCACAAGCTTTTCACTCTTTCTTTTATTCTTTCTCGGTGGCTTGGGATGATACACACGCTCATCTTTGGCCCCTTAAATAGAATTTCCTACGTTGATTGGTGAACACTATAGAGTAGGTGAGAACTGTAGTGATGATGGCTTGATAGGTGGAGGTGCTGCTGATTTCTAACAAGTTTGTGGTTGATTTATTTCTGTTCTTTTGTTCATTCTTGGGTTTGCTTAGAATCTGGGAGTTTTTTTCTATAGAGTTTATCCATAAAACATACAGTCATGATAGTGGTTGTAGGTTTGATGGCATCATTATTGGACATGTGCTTGCGTAAGTTAGCATGGATTGGCTTCTTATTGGATGATATGACATTCTGATTTTAGTTACTTTTATCACACTATTGTAATAATTATTTATTTATTCAGAGCTAGGGTGCGCAAGGGCTAAATTGTAGTTTACTTTTTTTTTTTTCTTTTTTATACAGGAAGGAATCGAATCCAATACTTCGGGAGCCATATTGAAACCTCCTAACCATCTAGATCACCCACAGTTCCCAAATTGTACCCAAATTGTAGGGTGCTTTGTGAACCCCTTTTTTTTTAAAAAAAACTTTTGGGCACTGTTTAATTAGCTTTATTATATATAGTATATTGTAATTGGATGTGATCAAGCATCAGCAGGGGGAGATGCTAGTTGCTATATATTCTGATATTGGGGGACACATGAAGAGCCTGATACTCAACCATCTGATTAAATATATATCAAGAAATTGAGGCATGAGATTTTCTTACTGAGTACTGTACTTCAGACTTCATCCGATGATTGACGTCTATGATCAGCTTTGACTGTAGAAAATAGTTGCTGGACTTTTTATGTAATATGTTAGGAGATAGATGCATGACTCTATAAGAGGGAGAAATTTTGGGTATGCCATAGAAAACAATTGACTTCTCTCATCTTGTTGCGTCTTGTAATTTCTTATTTTTACTGCGACTTTGAACTTCATTTTCTACAAGTTTTACCTCACCTTTATCTATAAATATGGAAGCTTCCCATTCCATTGGGATTTTCCCCAATTCCACAGGTTTTCTAAGCAATATTCTAAATGGAAGTTATTTTTATTAAGCCCTCATCTCTCTTTTTCTTTGGAGAAAACTTTAAATTTGTGAGCCCTCATGTTTTGACGTTACTTGCAGCTCCTAGTCAAAATGCTCTACTTGGCGTTTCTAAAATCACTTTCTGCTTGCTTGAACTTGAATATAATCTATAATAATTCAACAAAAGAAGCACCACCTATCATCCTGCATAATGTTCACTAAGCACGGAAGAATGGAAAAATAGAAACAAGAAATATACCTTGTGAATTCAATGGTTAAGTTAGAAGTATGGCAAATATTCACTAGCAAGGCCTTAAAACTAAGATCGGATACATGTCTCAAATTATTATACTAGGCTACTGCGGTTCCAGAAAGGTAAATTTGGGAAATATGATTGTAAGGAGCCACCTTCGATTGAATCCAAGAACGCACCTCTCGATGCATGGATTGAGCTATTGCAATGGACCATCTGCTCTATTCATCATGATCTAAACGTCTTAGAACATCCATCTTTAATATAAAAAAACATGGCGTTCCAATGCTCAGGGCCGGCCCCGAGGTTTGGGTTGCCCTAGCCCAATCCAATTTTGATTGCCCCTTATATTAAAAATTTGGTACGAACAATTATCCCCGTTTTGAAAGTTTTTTTTAAACAATTGTGTGCCTCTGGGAAATGAATTATGGGAAGAAATTATCCCGGCACAAGTTAAAAAAAAGGGCATTTGTCAGTTAGAAAACCTTGTTGCTCTTGTAGTATGAGCTCTTTTAACAGCAGAGCAAAAACGTTAAAACTTTCTCCGAAGCGACAAAGAGTCTACCATAAAGAGAACAAAGGTACATTTGGTAAAGCATCACTACTCCAAGCATAAGATAAAGCTAAAGTGGTAACATTGACACATTTCACAAAGGCTAAATGACACTTAAATACTAGAAATTATCCCCGTTTTAGAAATTAGATACTATGAGTTCTTTTTTTGTGGCAAATAAACACCACAAGTTGTTCAAACTTGGCAGTTACTATCCTCAGGATCATGTAAACGTCAAAAATTTTAACTGAATGTTCCCTTGTGATTAAATTTATAACTTTCTAACCATTAATATTTGTTAAACTTATCACTAAACACATCCCAACTCTACTTTAAAGTAGAATTTAATTAAGTTTAAAAAAAGGAATTTTGTATAGATTCAAAAACAAATTTAAGTGTCTTTCCTTCCAAATAAATCCCTTCCAATTTTCTCAATCAAAGAACCAATCCTTATTCTTCTCCTTTTACTCAGAGTGGTCAAGCTCCCTTTTATAACCGAGCAGTCAGAAATCGAGCAGGAAACTAACCTCAGGGAGCCACTTCTCGTTCTCGGCATCCGCAAGCACAATAGAACCCAATCCTCATTCTTGGCCTCCAAATCAAGAACGAGGTCAAAGTTTGAAAACGGATTATAACCTACTAAACTTACCAAACACTTGCAGGACTATAATCCAAGTGGTATTACAATCCACAATTTCAAATGGTATTACAATCTATAATTTCCAAACACGCTCTTAGCCTCTTCCACATTCTACTCCTTCATTTTACCTTCTCCTATTTTCTCTTAATCAATATCCCCCGAACATAATGCTTGGTCACATAAAATATCTAACTGAATTAGGTCACAAAACGATGGAAATAAATATAAAACTAGTTCTAATTGCACGTTGCCACATACATACATATATTAATATTAATAATAATAAAAAAGAAACAAAAAAGGGGAAATTGAATCCTAGGCTCAATAATAATAAGGTAGGGCAGACATCTTTGGGTCCCCAGTTCGTGCCGGTAACGCTAAGCAATCACCTCGATCGGATCCCAATTCCCTCACACACAACACCCTCCACAATTTTCTTTTTTGCAAATCAAATCGATGATAGTAAATAAACATGAATTAGGAGGGGGAAAATACAAAAATTCAATAGAAATCGATTCTCAAGATTTTTTTTCTTCTTCGTCACCTGATCGCTTGCGAGAGTTCCAGAGGGTCGCATGGGGTGGATGAGGCGGCGGCACTGCCTCCGACTCCGGCGAGGTCCCATGAGAGTATGTATGCCACCGGCTAGTTGCCCCCCGGCCCTGGGTTGCCCCAGCCCCGGGGCTTGGTGGGCTTACCCCAGGGCCGGCCCTGCCAATGCTTCTAACACATATTTTTTATTGTCGCTTTAGATGTACTAGTGTAAAATCGTTAATTTACAACCACTTGATACATGAGTAACTATACCCAATGCGCCTAATTTTTGTTTGAACGTCATCATCAGAATGAACAGAGCGGATCAAGTAAATTGATTAGATATAACATAATTTTGAATGCACGTCCTTCAATTCGATTCAGTCTAAAGTGGCTCCTTCCCAGTTTCTACAGCGCGATAGAGCTTCCAAGCCTACTCTTTCAGTCTGGTTAAACTGAAGTTGAATATTTGTTTCCGTGCATTCATCAATCCAACAACATTTAATGCATTAAATGCGCAAGCATCACCTTCGTATCTAAGCTACCATCACCAACTTGCTCTCAGAATCGTGTGGTTGCCCGTCTCTTTTCTATTGGGCGGTGGAAATTTCTGCAGCCAGTACATAATGTGGATGATGTGCTGATGCTGAACAACAGTTCCCTCTCAAAAAGTTTTTGAGGGGTTTAGGTATTATATCTGGTAGCTGTTGGAATCATGACGTGCTCTTCTTTGGCCCTTTACATGTTGTTGGCATGCGAATCCATGACCAAAACAAAAGGATCATTCTCCCTTGCCATTTTGCACCGGGACAGGATTTTAATTAGGATCATCTTCCTACTTTGAACTAAAGAATGTTCCGGATTATCGATTCTGCCCCCCCCTGCGTCTTTCTAACGCAAGGAATTGATTCCCAGGGTAAATTCTATAGGACGGTTATAAGGTCAATAATTCTTAATTTGTGGTGGACGTACCCCAAGAGGTGAGAATAACGAGTGTCTTTGTACAAGGTTGTAGGTCGCTCCTATTAAGGCTAAAACGAGAGAAAATCAATCGAGATGGTTCAACCTTGTGCTACGGAGCCCACAAAATGAACCGATTAGGAGAAATAACTTTGAGGGTTATAATTGATATAGCGAAGAGGTCTAGAGGCATGCCTAAGAGAATCTGGTTGGAAGCAATTAAGAATGATATGAAACTGAATAGAAGAACAGGGTTCGTGTAATTGGCCCCAAAATTTTGGTACGAAGGCTTTGTTGTTGTTTTCGACGGGTGAATTAACTTGAAGCTTAGTGTGACCAGCGTGCCGAACACAAAAAATCTGAAGCCAGAAATTTTAGTTTAGAAGGGTCTGGAACAAGTCCTTCGACCTGCTGATTATTTGCCAGTGAGACATGAGTCCGTACGCATATCTGGACCACAGAGAAATCCCTGAAAAACAAGGCAGGCATCTGTTGTCATCTTCAACCCCAAGTTGGAGGACCAACTTGCGCTCAGCCAGAAAGAGCCATTACTCACAGTGGATTGCTTCGTTTGACTCGTCACTCTCACACAATATGGGAGATCCAATATCATGATTATTTGCCAGTGAAATTTTTTGTTTATTAAGTTACTACTCTGCTTGTGTACATGATGTAAAATCTCTTTATTTGCTCTCTCATTCTGAAACTAATCTGATGTAATAAGCAAGCCTGCAGTTGTGGATAACTGCCAGGTATTTAACCGTCGGGAAAAAAAAAGATCGGTAAATTTCGACGACTGGTGAGTTTTCGAACCAACCCGTGTACATGCCTGAACTGTGAGAAATAAAAATATTCGAATCTGCTCATATTGTTGAGTGTCAATTTGCTAACTGTCAAACTTCAGCTCATCTGTTTATGGACCAGGTTTTTTGGGATGAAAAAAATCTCATCGATGTTTGACGATGACACAGATAAAGGTGACATGTAAAAGACTACTGGAAATATTTTCCCAAAGTTTCTACTTACTATGTTAAGAGGGAAATCCTGAACCTATGATCACTTCTTGCGCAAATAAGAGTTCCTTATTTCTTCTCTAATTCTTGCGCCGCGTTAGCGAGTTCCTTTACCTTTACCTTCCAAGTTTCTTGCACTACATTTACAAGAGATTACCCATTCTGTTATTATTCTTGTCCTAGAACGTTTCCTGCGTAGTTTTTTTTTTGTGCTGGCTCAAGGTTAAATTTTTATTCCATTGGGTTTTTTTATCATACATATCTTCTAGCGTGTACTGACCTGTTCCTCAACTAGATTTACCCAACTAATCGCAGGCTGTATCAGTTATCACTTGCCACAAAACGCAGTACAGGAATCAGACATATCACTTCAACATTACCATTATAGCCCTGTGATCTACAATATTGGCCTACCAATCACGTGGGCTCTACAGTCATTAGCCAAGTTGTTGATAATTACATCCTTTTTCCTTTGCCAACCCTCTCTCTATATATGCACTCATCTCCTCCCACACTCACCTCAGAGCCTCAAAAGTCAAAAAAACTGATCGAAGCAGCGGCATCCATCATCCATGGCCTCCCAAACCATCATTGCCACCTTTTTCAGGCCATCTTCAGCAGCAACGAAGGGCTCCGACAAAATCACGTTGCTACCCCCCAGTGGCCGACGCTCGCATTTGCCTCCAGAGGCCTCTGGGGCCAAGAGGAGGGGTGTCGAGCGAAGCAAAGCGAGGAAAAGGAGCATGGTGTGCTTGAAAGGCCTGGCTTCCTCTGCCCTGTATTTGATGAAGAAAGCTCGGCAGTTTCAGAAGTGGCACGTCAGCGATGAGTATGTGAACGCTGCCGAGGGTGTTGAACCCTACTTCTCTATCCCGGTGGTGGCGTAGTATTGTGAGTTGCAGTGTTGTGAAGGGTGTAGCTTAGTGGTCTATGGTAGCATCTAAAATATTCCATTGTTGTGTGGGCCTTGTAACTGCGTTCGCATGCATTTGAGAATGTCAAAAGTAGGTATATAATTTTCTGCCTATGGTTTATCTTAAAAAAAAGTTCAGGAGCTCACGCTTTGTTAAGTGGGACCTCATTATTTTGCCTTCAGGGAGTTGAATCATCAGCACCAGTAAAATCATACAACCAGAAACGTTCTAATGAATTCATTTACCCCTTGTCTGCCAATGAACAATAATTTGTTAAGATCTCTAAAAAAAAGTTTATTTTCTCTACCCTCAAATGAAACAATAAGTACGTCCCCAGCACTGAGCACTAAGCTAGCCTTAGAATTCTCAGCATATAAATCTCAGAAGACTAATATTCTCTGAAGGAAACACTTGGCTTTGGCCCTCAGATACAAAAATGTGTCAATACTCAGCTTTATAATTATTCTTATTAATTTTTCCGAAAAAATAATTGACGGTACCTATGAAATCATAAATATAACTCTATGCTCATACGACAGACAGAGCAGTGTCTAATCTTTCTGTTCCTCGATCTTCAATTTGACAAGATCATCTTCGACCTCATGCAACTTAGTCGAGCTTGAAAACCTAAGGACCTCAAAATCACCACCAATGGGCAGATGATCACTCGGGTGATGTAAATTTGGAAGTCCGTCAACAATGTCTGCTGATTCTGGACCTGGAAGTTCCAGTAGACTGACCGGTTTCAAGTAGCCCCTGCTTGATAAGAATATGTAATCTAGAGTTCCTGTGAACCCCGGTGTAACATTTGTGAATGGTGGTTCTCCTCCATTTGTACCGTAAAGGCTGCAGAGTTTATATGGGGATCCTGAAGACTCGGCAGCAGCATTTGCAGATACAAGATATCTGTAAACCTGAATGGAAAAATCTCAGAGTTACTATGTCACTACTTGAAGAGATATTGTAAGATGAAGTGGAGTTTTATGCCCCAACCGTCAAAAATTGGGAATTTGACGTGCCTGATTTTTTTTGCAAATCTAATCAGTTGAATGCATCGTGTTGTATGAACTATGAGATTAAGTGAAATTTTGTTTTATGATTCCTTTAAAATCATCACGATTTTGCAACAGATTCATTCTGCCTTCATGTGAGCCATTATCGAGTTGATGAGGACACAGAGGGAGATGGAGAATCGATGTAGATATACAATGAAAGATCCATTAATGCATGTAAAACCTCATAGGAGATATTTTAAAAATCTATTTTAAATTAGATAGGGTTTCTTATAACTTATAAGTATATAATATGTAAGTTTTAGTAAAGATGGAATTAGTTTATTCGAGTCATTGTCTCTAGCTTTATCTTTAGTTACTAGTCTTAGATAAGAATTTTAGTTCGATTAGGATTTATCATTTCTTTTACTGGAGCTAATTTTTTAGAGGAGTTCTGATAAGCTAGAACTATGTTGTTTAGACTACAAATATGACTACTGTGTACTTTGGCATAACAAGTTTAGCCATGATTAAAAATTGAGATGTTGAATTAAATATAAATCTATTATTCATTCCTTGAGGGCCATTGCCTGGGGTTTTCTTATCTTCCCTTCTCCTCTCCTCTCCAATTTTTCTCCTCCTTCCTCAATTTTCACGAAATGCGGTGTTATATTTTCAAGAGAGAACAAGGAAAACAACAGAAAAGCAAGAAAACAAACCTCGTCACCAGGAGTAGAATTAAAATCACCCGTGACAATCACTGAAGGTGTGCAACAGTATTTGTTTGAAACAAGTTCCTTGAACTGAGTAAGTCTCAGCAGAAGATACTTCACTTGAGCAAGCTTTACATCAATCCATTCTGGATCCCTACAATAGCGGGAGAATAAATTATTGCTCAGCTCAAGGGTCAACGAATTCAGAGGAAAAAGTTGTGATAATAGCCAAACATATAAGCAAATATCGAGAACTCGAAAGTTCAAACTTCATAACTTCCAGACAAAAGTTATGCCCTAATAAGTTAAACAAAAAGAAATGATTTCATGAATTTCTTCAAGTAATAAACAAAGGGCAATTATTATTATTATTATTGTTTTTGAGACAATGGATAAATGTTTTGAGTTATACAAAGAAAACTTACCAATAAATGTGAGTACTCGCCACAACAACGAGGTGCTGAGAAGGATTACTAAGCTTAAATGCTGCCAGCACACCCACACAATCACGTTTCAGTCTCACACGAGGATCATTAGGGTCTCCATGATCACTATTATTGGTCGCCTTAACTGAAACTGAAAGAAATTAAAGTCCTGGTATAAAGACTATGCAAAAAGCGTAAATACAGAAAACCTTGTAGAACCGATTTTTGTTGGAAAAATAGAAATGATGTACTCTGTGCATCAAAGTAAGACAGAACCTTCCAATTAGCCAACCTATAACTAGGAGATAGATCTAGAATACTGAATGCAAATATGTCAAAAGAAAATTAACAGGTTGCATATAAAAATGCAACCACGAGTTTTGAAACAAATTTAAAAGAACCATCTTGAACTGCCCTGCCAAGGCATAACAGCATAAATTTCAATAAGAAAAAAGGTGACCATTGCTTTCTTGACTGCATTATACTTCTATTCAATTCAACAACAAAAACAATAAATCTTTGACCAAAATCTAATTCAGTTTTCTGAAGGGTCATTTCTTAAATAACAACTATCATATCCTACAGTTACACCCAACAAAGAGCAACTTTTCTGAGTTCATAGAGTTAATATAAATACAAATGCACATGATTTCAAAATGAGGGTTGTCACACCCCGGTTCAGCGAGCCCATTGGCTCAATGTAAGCTGTGGGACCCATTGCATGCAACATGTTGTTCGCTTGATCCACTGCCAAAAATGCAAGCATTTGCTACTTGGTTCCCAACGATCACATATATACCCATCTATTCTTTTGATATGGGACTAATTGATGGCGCAATGGTAAGGTTGTTGGCTTGTGTCCTGTAGGTCACGGTTTCGAAACTCGAAAACAGCCTCCTCGCAAAGCGAAGGTAAGACTGACCCTCCCCAGAACTCAAATGGTGGAGACTTGTGCGCTGGGCCACCCTTTTTAAATGATTCAAAATAACAAGTGTATATGTAGGGTGAAATGAAAGATATGGAAAGGATCGGAATGCTCAAAAAAATATACCTTCTGGTGTTGCTTTGCTCGTCTGATCCTTTGTATCATTATCCTCAGTCTCAACTGAGCTAGTATCATAATCAACAGAGGTCACGAGATCATTGTAATGTATTTCTTCATGTAAGACCAGTTCTGCACTGGAAAGAAGGATGATAGTTACTGAAATATTATGTATCATTTAGCTGACAACACAAGATAAATACCAATTTTATGTGAGGAACTCTGCAACTAAAGGTCACAAAATCTTCACCTCATAAAATCAGGCAAACCAACTGAAGTAAATGGGCTTGTTCCATTACCATGATCTAAATGAAAACAAATAGTGAAATAGGAATGTACCAGTCTCTGCTAGCAAATAATTAACTTCTCCAGACCCTTTAACCAATCAAGACAAACTTAGTAAACAAAAATGAAAGGGAACTCTACAAAAGTGGCTGCCAGACCACATTTTAAGACTTCCCTAAAATGGATGTTGCATTTTATTTTCATTTTTTGTTTGAAAGTAACTTGCAGGTACTAGATTACATTGGACTGTGTGGAGTACTAATTTATGACTTTCCTGAAATTTGGGATGTAGTTCTGTCTATACTTCCGAAAAGTTTGACTGCAATAGAGCCAATTTTTTCATTTCACTTGTCACCTTTTGACTCTGAAGTTAATATTGAGTCTTTCGTACGTTGTACCCAAAAATGCCACAATACCAATCTGGTTTTCATTTTGCTCTCCTCCCTCATGTGTCAACTGATATAATTTGTGCTGATGCGCAGGTAGCCTTTAACCCCAACAAAACGTAACATATGAAACCATACAAAATAAAATCATGAATGAAAGAAAAGTAGGGATATTTTTAGTTTGTTCATTATCGTTCATCTGCTCCTAGGCTGGAACTATCTTTCTTGCTTAGTTCTTTGGAATCTTTATTTTATTTTAGGAGAAAATGCTTCCAGCCTCCAAAACCAAAGAAAACGTGCCTCCCACCCCTAAGACTTTTTAAACGGGTACTTTACCCCCAAAAATAAACTTTTTGTTCTCTGAGCCCCCAAAACACAAAGCCCAAGAATTTTACACAGGTAAAGACTATAATACCCCTTCTTTCTCTCTAACCATGCAATCCCTCCCCTCTCCCTCCTCCTTCCCCCACCTCTCCACCTGCCGCCGCCCTCCTCCTGTTATTCTCCAGCGTGCTGGAGCTCCTGGTTCTGGTGGCGGGAAGTGAAGAAAGAATTGTGAAAAAACTTATGATGATGATGATGATGATGATGACGACGAGTGGTTAGGGGTTTGGATCTGAGGAGAGAGGAGAGGGATGAGGGTTTGACTTATTCTAAGGAAATTCATTATAGTTTCTTTTGAGGATTCTTTTCATGGCTGGAGATAGGAAATTAGATTTCGCATTTTGAGGAGACGAGGCCACAAGGAGAGGAGGGGAAAGGAGGAGAAAGAGCTGGATTTGTGTAGGACTTGATAGCTGATCTTCAAGAAGGAACGAATTATTTGATTTCTTTATGAATTTTCTTGTTTTTTTCCTTGAATTTTGTACCGATGAGATTGGGTGATCAGAGAAGTCCTAACAGCCATCCGTTATACATAATATTTTGGTTACTGTGAAATAATTAAGAAATCATGTGTAAATATCGTTAAATTTTTGGACTAGTTGGGCTTATAATCAGTTGCGAATGACGGAATAATCTAGAAATTATATGTACATATAGCTAAATTTCGGGCTAATTGGCTTATAATTAGTTGCAATGGTGGAATATCAGTGCGTGGTTCTTGAAACTTCTTTCGGATTCCGTTAATATGAAGGTTACGCGTTTATTATTAAGTTTACGCATTTGTTGTCAAGGTTACGAGTTGGTTGTTAAGGTTATACGGGTTGTTTGTTACTGGTCGCTTGTTAAGGTTACGCGTTGCTTGTTAAGGTTACGGGTTAACAACCAATGTGTAACCTTAACAACCAACGCGTAACCTTAACAAGCAACCCGTAACCTTAAAAAGCTACACGTAAATCTCTTGGCAACACGTAATCTTAACAATCAACCCGTAACCTTAACAATTAACGCGTATAACCTTAACAAGCAACCCGTAACTTTAACAACCAACGCGTATAACCTTAACAACCAACGCGTAACCTCAACAAGTAACCAGTAACCATAACAAGTAACCCGTAACTTTAACAACCAAAACGTAACCTTAACAACCAACCCGTAACCTTAACAAGCTACACGTAAATCACTTGGCGACGCGTAACCTTAACAAGCAACCCTTAACCTTAACAATTAACGCGTATAATCTTAACAAGCAACCCGTAACTTTAACAATCAACGCGTATAACCTTAACAACCAACGTGTAACCTTAACAAGTAACCCGTAACCTTAACAACCAAAGCGTAACCTTAACAATCAACCTGTAACCTTAACAAACTACACGTAAATCACTTGGCAACGCGTAACCTTAACAAAAAACCCGTAACCTTAACAATCAATGTGTATAACCTTAACAACCAACGCGTATAACCTTAACAATCAACGCGTAACCTTAACAACTAACGTGCAACATTAACAAGCAAGTCATAATCTTAACAACGAACGCGCAACATTAACAAGTAACCCATAACCTTAACAATCAACGTGTAACCTTAACAACCAACACGTAAAAAAACCACTTGGTTTAAGAGTAAAATCAGGTGTTTGAAGGCAAAAACTTACAATCAAGCAAACACTCTCAAAAAAATTTCTAAACATCTTCATACGTATTACAAATACAATACATTGTCTGCGAGCAGGCCCATTAAAAATTCTTCCATCACAATTCAACGTTTTAACAAAATGGATGTCCATTTTCATTCAGTTCTTTCATAATACTAATTTACACTTGCAATGATCAGTAACATTGTGCACAAATTTCTGAAAAAATAAATCATACTATAGAAGACCTACAAATTTCTTCCTAAAAAGCCTTGATGTTCCCATCACCTGATCCAAATCCAAATCCCTCCACTTCTTCATCATCATCACCGTCTCATCTCCGCCTCAAAAAATATCGACACCAAACAACCTCACGACCTTCGCTTTGGAGTGGTTGAGCCTGCCTTGGCGGAGCTCGTCGACTTAGGTGTGTTTCCTGAGCATGTCGACGACTTCGGCTTTGGAGTGGCGGGCTAGGAACCCGAGCTCGACGGCGTCGGAGGGGTTGGACGCCGAGAGGGGCTTAAAGTTGTTGACGGCAGCACGGTCGCGGAAGCGCTGGGTGGTGACGTCGTAGGAGC